AGCAGTTAAAGCAGGTTTCAGATAAAACAGAAGTGGTTGAAATGGTTTTTGAAAGAGCAAAACAAATTGCATTTTTTTAAAAAAATAGAGAAGTGAAGGTTTTTGTCTTAAATGGGGAATTAAAGTTGAGCTGAGGAAGCTCTAATGTGATTTCATATTTCTGGATGGTTCTCTATGGTTTATACAACTTATTTCACACACTTTGCTTCATTTTATATGGATTTGGCAAATGCTCTAGCTGTTCAGAGCACAGTAGTTTTTGACTTACAACCAGGGGTGGGATTCTAGCGTTTTGGACCGGTTTGAGCGAACCCCCTAGCTCCGAAGATCAGTGTTGTGGTTTGCAGGCAGCCAGTGCAGACGGCAGCGGAGTCAGACAGTGAGGAAGTCAGGGAGTCTGGAGAGGACTTGGACGAGGGTCCTGCGTCCAATGCAGGGATGGAGCCAGGACCATCTGGGAGTGGGATGCTGCCTTTGGAGTCTGGCAGCAGCGAAGCAGAGGACCCAGGGGAGCCTGTTTCCAGTGCGTGTATGCGTAGAGCTGCTAGAAGGCGAGAGCAGCTGAAGCAGAAGGGGTGACTCGGGAGTAAGGCTGGGAGGGGATTGCCCCTCCCATAAGGGATAAAAGTCAGCCCTCAATGACAAAAGCTTTGCAGGAAGCAAAGTAGTTTGATAGATTCAGAGTCCTCCTTGAAGCTCTGTGTACTCTGGTTGGTTTTTTTCTGGTACTTCCGGTTGGTTTCTGTTATAATTAATTGGATACTTCTGTTTTTTGGCAGCATTCCACAGCACTGAAAGGCATGTGCTTATCTTGGGGAACTGTTTTAAGATTAGTTCTGGCTGGGAATGCAAGTAATTCCCAGCATTGCAATAAAATAGGTTTTGCTTTTAAAACAAATTTGTGTTTCATTATGTTTGACGAAGCCTGGGTCAGAACAATCAGCTGGGAGTGAACTAGTTCGCTCTGGCCATCATGTGAGCACAAAAGAGCGTATTGCCGCTCCTTGGCTGTTTTTCTCCCCCAAAGTAACATAGCAGGTAAGGATTTTTGCACTGCTGTTCACACGCATGCGCGCGCAAAGCACACGATCACTGAACCGGTTGTTATACCGGCAACATCCCACCCCTGCTTCCAACCATTCAGTTAGTAACTATTCAAGCATTCAGTGGCACTGAAAAAAAGTGACTTATGACCCACACTTATGACCGTTGCAGCTCCCCACGATCATGGGATCAAAATTGGAGGGCCTGGCAACTGGTATTTGTGACAGTTGCACTTTCCTGGGGTCACGTGGTTGCCATTTTTAACCTCCCCAACCGACTTCTGCTAAGTAAGGTCAATGGGGGGGAGCCAGATTTGCTTAACAACTGCACAATTCACTTAGTGACTGCAGTGATTCGCTTAACAACTCTGGTGAAAAGAGGTTGCAGAATGACTTGTTTAATATCCACCTTGCTTAGCAACTTAGAAATTTTTTGCCTCAAGTTGTGGACGTATATTTGCTCACCTCTTAGGAAAGAACGAAACGGCTGTTTAGGGGGTCTTCTGTTTTTTCTGAGGCAGGACAATCAGTGCATGATCTACTCTGTGGCTACAGTGGAAGATTCTGACCTGCTTATGGGGCTGAGAGAAAAATGGATGACGCCCATGTCCCTCCTGATGGTGCTGAAGAAAGCCGGCATGAACATCTTCCCCGCGGAATACTCCACAAAATATGTCAGCGTGAACAAGAAAGTAAGCAGCCGGGAAATCATTTTCTGTCTCTTCCTCAGTTCATGTGCCCTGTTTGGGTAAAGAATGTGTGAATGCAGCCATTCGGGTTTGTCTACCATGGTTTAGGGCAGGAGTGTCCAACCTTGGCAACTTTAAGACTTGTGGACTTCAACTCCCAGAATTCCTCAGCCAACATGGAAGTCTCTAGCATGGAAATGTCTTAAGTCCTCAAGTCCTTCACCTGCACCAGGAGTGCAAATTTAAGACTTGTGGACTCTGCATAATCTAGATAATTAGATCATTTTCAGCTATCTATCTATCTATCTATCTATCTATCTATCTATCTATCTATCTA